AGCTACTTTTGCAAGTATAACAAGAAAACAAGCCTAGGCTCTGATACCACTGTTGGGTTATGAGCATTCTAACACTCCTAAGTGTACATGCAACCCTAAATACCTTGGATCTATGTTTTCTCTATTATACATACAATTATGAACATCCAAGGTATTATCCTAATCTAGCATACAAAATAATAAATATAACAAGATAGAATACATACCTCTTTGATGTAGAATGTCTTCATGAAGCTTGAGTGCCTAGTGCCCCAAGTGTGACACCTCAAATGGTTCACACAACACCAAATACACTTGGAATAACTTGAGAGAAACTTGAACACTCCTTGAAATCGTCTAGCCCTCACACTCACACATTAGTGCACGATTTCTTGAGCCATGGGATTCTTTTATATGGTGGCTATTAGGGTTACACCATGTAACTCATAACTTTACCCATTCCTTATGCTCCATGGATTTTAACCTCCATGGAGTATCCATGGGTCACCCCATGGACTTAGTCCAACATAAGGAATCTTGGATCACAAGCCCACATATATAAGAATGAATGATTTACACAATCAACCCATATATTTAATTAGTCTCATTTTGATCACTTAATTAATTCCAAATTAATTCTTGATCAATACTAATTAAATAACCTTATTAATATATTAGAACTTATAATATATTAACCAACCTTAAGTGTTATTTCTCTCATTATAGTCTATCCAAATGCATGATGCCATGCAACCCAAATGGACCATGCCGGGCCGGGTCAAGTCTTACCAATTATAGTTATGGACTTAGACATTAATCCAACAGTAAGGTGTCGTGGTCTCATGAATGATACCCACTGATTGGAAGTATATGGGATCCATATATTCACCTCCCATATCAGTCCTAAGACATTTAACCAGATTTCCCAATTGTAATTCCACCTCGGGTTTTCTATATTTTGAATTTGTCTAAGGCTTCGTCATTAGAATGTAACAAATACACATAGCAAAACCGAGTGCAGTCATCAATAAAGGTGACTACATACTTTTTATTTCCCAAAGAAGGAGTGGAGTGAAAATCACACATGTCACTGTATACAAGTTCCAAAACAACTGAATTTCTAGTAACACTAGGAAAGGGTTGTTTTGTCACTTTTGTAAGCATGCATGTTTTAGATGTATCAGAAGTCATATCAAAGGCTGGAATTAATCCATCTTTTGACGTCTCGTGTATCCTTCTAAAGTTGGCATGACCTAATCTTACATGTCAAATCATAGATTTGTCAACATTAGAAGCAGAAGATACAAAATGCAGAATTTTGAACAGGTAATAATTTGTTAACATTATTCAAACGAAACATTCTATTATTTAAATATCCAAAGCCAAAAACATTCCACCCTTAGATAAGATGAACTTATCTGACTCAATAACTTGTTTAAAACCATCAGAATTCAAACAACTAGAACTAACAAGATTCTTGCGAATCTTAGGAACAAACAAAACATCAAAAAGCCTAATTGTCTTTCCAGAAGTAAATTCAAGAAACACGACACCAACACCATAAATTGGAATAAAAGAATTGTCTCCCATTTTCAGCACTGGACCATCTTCAATCAGAGTTAATGTTTAAAACATCTGTTTATCCTTTCATACATGGTTCGTTTCCCCATAGTTGATCCACCAAGCAACTTCATCATCATGTACATAGTGTGATTCAGGAATGAATGAAACATAATCAGCATAATTCTGATAAGAATTATCAAGGTTAGTCAAGAACTGACCTCCTTTAACTTGGTTCGAAGACCCGTTCACCTTTCCATTGGCTCCACTGTTTCCAGCTCCATTGTTGCCTAAATTCACATGACAATCACGCTTGCAAAGCCCAACCTGATTGCACCTCCAACAAACCAGATCCTTTTTCTTTTTGTTGGAGTTTCTTGGGACATGTTCCTGCTTACGTTTGCCATGTCCTTGTGGTTCTGATTTCTTGGTTTTTTTTCAACCATATGAACCAAGGGCTGTCCAGATTCATCTTTCCCTTTGGGTTTCAGATTTGTCACTTTCCTTCGCACGAAGAGATTCGTCAATACGAATATGACTAGAAAGTTGAACCAAAGACAGTTCCTCCTTTTGATGTTTTAAGTTATGTTTGAAGTCTTTCCAGGATAGAGGAAGTTTGTCAATGATGCTTGACACAGCAATGGATTCCTCCATATTCATACGATGCAGTTTAAACTGACCATATATGCCAAGGAGCTCATTGTATTGTTCAGTGATAGACCTTGAACCGTCAATCTTAAAATTATTAAAATCGCTCACCAGAAAATTCTTGCTAGAAGCGTCCTCAGTGATGTATTTCAATTCAAAGGTGTCCCACAACTCCTTGGCACACAAGGCGTCACTATGAATATCAAATAGAGCATCATACATTCCGTTCAGAATGTGACCTTTGCAGATGTAGTCATCGTTGTCCCACTTCTGTCTCCTCCTTATCTCTTTAATTGTCTCAGTAGCACCTTCCTCAACCTCTGGTGCTCTTGGAGTAGTCAGCACGTATGTTGCTTTAAGAGTAGTCAGCATAAAGTGCATCTTCTTCTTCCAACGCCTGAAATTTACGCCTTCAAACTACTCCAACTTTGCAAACTTTGTGGTCATCTCGCGGATTGATTCTCCCATCTCCAGAAACAGTAAATATCAATTCGATTGTTGGAGGAATTAGGGTTTATGTTGGAGATCTGGATACCCCTTGGATCGTGTGAACAATTTCCAAACTGATATTTCTACCCTATGCATGGGTTGCAAGAAATTTAGCCTAGGATAATCCAAGAGGACACATACGAGTCTAGGCACATAAATCGTAAGCCAAATTGCTAGAATAATTTTATGTGCATTTGAAGAAAAGAGAGCTAATGATCATGTGTCCATTCTCAAAGAGAAGAATCATTTATATAATAAACAAGATTAGGGTTTGCCTCTTATGCCTCTTATGGTTGGCCGTCATGGGTTGCTTTGGAAGTAAGTCAGGGAAACCCAGAATTTAATGAGGATTTACGGTTTCCAAAACAAATGAATTTTGTTAGTTTTACCATAATCACCCTCAAAAATTCGATTTTTCCACTATGTTCCCATATGTTAGAGTACAAATTGTGAATCCCTTCTCAAGAATTTTGTTAGGGTTTCCAAAACTATCAACAATTTCATTAGTTTTACCAGCCAGGGGCTCTACCCCTTGGACCCCGCTTGGGGCGCTGCCCCTAGACCCCGCCAAAGGGGCGCTGCCCCCGGACCCCCGACTTGTTGTCAAACCGGTTTCTAATTCGATCTTATACATGTTTGCACTCATCACAAACCCGTACATATATTAGAGTACAAATTATGAAGCCCCTTAGCTCACATGTTAGTTCCAATTACATAAAATGACATGGTGACACTAAAATCACTAACATCCTTAACTCATTAGAACTGTCTGCGTCTCTCTCTAATGATCATTCTTTCTTTTTTGTAGGTCTCTCTCTCTAACCTTTTCTTTCTCTCTCTTCGGCATACAAAACTCAATGGGTTTGGTACCAGTAATCACGAAATCGCAAACGTCGCCTTTAGTGAGACCAGATATGCCGGTGGCTGATAATGACATGGCCCCGTCTCATGGCCTCCTTAGCGACCAAGAAAAATCCATTCATGTGCTTGGCAAGGTCTTTCAATGATGCGATATCTAGACGAGATATAGAAAAAGAAGCAAAGATGAGTCGAGCAGGAGGTGTCGGAGTAAAGGAAGGGGAAAAAAGTCAACGACTTTTGTGATTGATTGTGGGAAGCCTGTAGAGATTAAGATCATAGGAAGACTTTTGAGCTAATAGGTGGCATTATATTTGATGGCAAAGGAAAGGGGTAACAGATTAGTCCTTCAAAATATTGATAAGGACCATTTAAACCTGACAAAGTTCACCTTATGCCCTTAAACAACACCTCCAAAAAAATATATGATGGACATTTTAAAACAAATGGAAAAAAATTGTAGGCCTAAATTGACATTAACTTTATAAATATATAACTAATAGCCTTTTATAACATTTTGAAATACAAATTTCATAAGCCAAACAAACCTCACCGTTAGGGTGTGATAAAAAACCAAAACTGAACCAAATGATGTTTGGTTTATTTGGTTTTCGGTTAATTCGGTTTGGTTAACCATATAAAGATATCTTATTTGGTTTGTTTTGTTTTTGGTTAAATTTTAATTGTTTTGGTTAAACCGAAAAACCAAAAAAGATATATATATATATATATATATATATATATATATATATATATATATATATATATATATATATATATATATATATCACTTGACATTTTATATATAAATTTATAGATTAGTACTAAGATTTTCATAACTTATTATTTAGTTAAAAATCACTATAAATTTATAATTGTTTTATATTTTGTATTAAAAAGCAAAAACAAATTAACAAAATGTCAATTAACCTTCAATCATTTATGTTATCTTCATATACAACTAAAGTTATATTAACCAATCTCTACAACTTGTGTGTCATTATCGGCTCTTCAAGACAACACAATACGTCATGAAAGATTGAATATAATATATTATATATTACTATATTTTTTTATTTGATAATAGTTTAGTAAGTTTTTTTTTCTTTTAGTTTAATATTTATTTTTACGTGCGAAATTTTATTTGGTTTAACCGGTAAACCGAACCGAACAAACCGAAACCGATTAAACCGAACCTTAATTGGTTTGGTTATGGGTAGATTTTAAATATAAAAAAAGAACCGATAAAACCAAACCGATCTAACCGAAAAACCGAACCGAATAATGTAGGGCGTCCCTCAAATTCACCTTCATAACAGACTACTTGCACCTTCATCTTTCACAAAAGCCCAACTTTCACCCCTCCATTCTATCTCTATATAAACAACCACAATCAAGACACAACTAGTTTTTCTTTCACCTTCTACAGTCCTACTCCAAATCAAATAAACACACAATAGATTCAAATGATTCCAACGAGTTACACCACAGTTTTCAGAAGACATCACAAATCAAGAGGTTTTCGGGTCAACCCGAAAAGATTTTCAGTTCAAGGGTTACGTACAAAGTTATTTAATTTCTTCAAGATTCTTATAAGATCATGGAAGTCGTATTCTTCTTCTTTGTTATACACCAAAAGCAGGTCGAAGAGATGTAGCAAGGTAAGAGATTGTAGTAGCCCCAAAAGCACAGTAACGACAGGGAATGTTGATCAGAGCTATGTTTGTAGGTTAAGATCGAATTCTTTCTATGCAGAAGCCATTGCTGATTGCTTGGAGTTTATAAAGAATTCTTCTGTTTCTTTAGATGATAAGTATTTGACACATTATATGTTGGATATTTCACATGGGTGTTGATGTAAAAGTAAAACCCTTATACAAGAACAGAACCAATTTCAGGCATTTATGGCCATTGAGAGCTAGCTGAGACTGATATGAGATCTCATGTCACATTTGATTCGTAGAGACACACTACTAGAAAATTGGTGCAATAGCTACAACACAATCTGTAGCTATTTCGTAGCTATAAGCAGATAGCTACGGAAAATTGGCTGTAGCATAATGGCCCGTGGCTAAATTATAGCTACAGAAGCGCTACAGAATAGCTACGGAATTTTCCGTAGCTACTATAGTTACGGAATAGCTTCGAAAATAAATAGCTACGGAATTCCTACGGAATAGTTACGGAACTAGATAGCTACGGAATAGCTACGGAACTAAATAGCTACGGATCCAAATAGCTACGGAATAGGTACGGAACTAAATAGCTACGGAAATCCGTAGCTATTCCGTAGCTAACTTCGTTTTATTTAAAAAAAAATTAAAAATTTAAAAATTTCCAATTTTTTGTTAAATACGACATTCAATTCATATTTGTCCCAAATACCATATAAAATACAACAAAAAATGTCCCTAATACCAAGTTTGACACATTCCATTCCATTGTCCAAAATATCTTACAAAAGTAAGCACTAATTAACAAAACAAACAATACCAAATGTTTACAAATTCAATTGTTCCAAAATACTTATCAATTGTCCCAAAATACTTATCAATTGTCCTCAGGTGGATTATCGGGGGGAGCACGAGGTTGATTTCCAGACATATTCATCATCCTCATAACCATTTCCATTTGTTCTTTCATTTGTTGTTGTTGTTGTTGTTGTTCCATGGTAGAAACTTGTGCACGCAACCTATCAACCTAAAAAAATGGCAACACAATTCAATAGTTAAACAATATTAGCAATGTACTTTAGTTTATTATAACAATGCATTTTTGTTTATAATACTTATAGCAGTATACTTAACTTTTAACAATAATAACAACGTACTTATGTTTATTATCAATTTAATCAATATTATCAACAAACTACCTAACTTTTAACCATAATAGCAACGTACTTTTGTTTATTATCAATTTAATCAATAGTATCAACAAACTACCTAACTTTTAATCATAATAGCAATGTACTTTTGTTTATTATCAATTTAATCAATATTATCAACAAACTACCTTACTTTTAACCATAATAGCAACGTACTTTTGTTTACTATCAATTTAATCAATATTATCAACAAACTACCTAACTTTTAACAATAATAGCAACGCACTTTTGTTTATTATCAATTTAATCAATATTATCAACAAACTACCTAACTTTTAACCATAATAGCAACGTACTTTTGTTTATTATCAACTTAATCAATATTATCAACATACTACTTAACTTTTAAACCATAACAACATACCTCTTGTTGTGTACTATCTGATTGGGTGGATTGGAAAGATGGTGTCCCAGAAATCACAAAATGTATATCTGATGCTCCAATGTCATAGATATCACCCTTCTTCTTTCCGTTTCTCCTTAGTTGGGTTTCCTCCCATACCCCTGCATCATCTTTACGGTTTGAAGAGTCTTCTCCGTATTTTTTGACCAACGCCTGTAGATACGCCTCCTACAAATTACCAAAATAGTATCATTGTCATGTACAGAAATACTGAGACAATCAATATACATAAATGATAAAAGATAAGTTACTTGTGCTTCTTTGGCAGTTTGTGAGCAATATTCGAGATTTTCATGATCTCTCGCAAAATATATTTTTTTCACCTCAGTTGTGCCATGCGTCTTGATGAAAACATCAAATTGTGTGGGTGGTTTACCCATCATCTTTTCCTACATAAAATACAAAGTATAATTGATGTAGTTAGTGTTAAAAAAATAAGATAATAAAATTTATAATTATGATACTTACTAAGTTGTTACGGTGCTCGTCAAATCCTATACTACCCGCGGTGTGCCTTGCTGTCGACCCATTAGCATCTGCGACTTTGCGGTTCTGCTGAGCAATTTTTGAATTCTTTCTCCACTTATCTGTGGACCAATGCTGTGAAAAGAAAAAAAAATATAAGTATACTAATACAATAGGAAATTAAAACTCAACAAAATAGATAATAATGTATCATATCCATTACATCACACAAACGTAGCCACACATTCTCCGGTACTCGCTCGGGGGCGGTAGTTATGCATCCCTTCGAAGTAGGTACAATGACCTGGGGGATGGGTTTTTCATCAATTCGTGCCATGTCCCCAGATTTAATCCTGATACGCTTCATCCGATCCCTGTATCTATCCTTGAGGACACACTTGAAGGCATCAAATATGTTACTATTCTCTAGTGAATGCCACCTGTACATGGTATGTAAAAAAATAAAAAGTAAATTTAAAAATACAAACTATAAACAAATGAGTATAATATACAATAATTAATATTTAATATATTGCCTTGAAACGCGAAAACATCTGCAGAAGAGCCTCATAGGGAATATCACTGAACCGGGGCCACGGATGATCCATATTCTCCCAAAAGAGACTAATACACGTGCTATGGATTTTCCTAGACCCAAATCTGCATTGAAAAGAACTATATAAGTAGAATTTTAACATCAAAAATTAAAGTTTTAAAATATGAAAACACTAACTTTTTCCCTTTTCGGCTGATGAGGGGCAACAAAGAGTCCTGAAAATTACTCGCATTCGAGTCGTGACCGCCCGTAACACCTCTAGAAGTGGAGTCATGCGGCGTCGATGGCGTGTTCGGTGGTCGTGGCGTGTGCGGGGTCTGTGGCGACCGAAAGGTTGCCTGTGCATCTGCACCCTCAAAATTGTACTCCTCAAATCCATAATGACCACCCGACTTCAAAACCATTTGTGGGGTCGGCAACTCAACACATGTATTTGGAAACTGGGGCGTATAACCCATTTGTGGGGATTGGGGACTATAAAACGTCTATGGGAGCTGGGGCCTATAATTTGTCTGTATGAGTTGGGACATATGACCCATCCCTCGAGCCTGTTGGCGAAGAATCCCAGCCAAGTCTGCTAAAGGATCAGCCATGCCGGTTTGTTCATTAATGGCACCCTGATCGTTGGAGCCTGCGACTCCTGTCACTATCGGTGTATCGATCGGTATGAGTGACGTCCTATAACGTGGCTCGTCGGTAGAATTAGGGGATAACCCTCCCCTCCTCCTATGCCCCGCACTGCTAGAAGAAGTGTTGGTACTGTGGCCTTTACCCTTGCGTCCATTACCCGACATGCTGCATTTAATAGACCAATAATGATCAGATATATAATATAAGATTGATAAGTCATGATGAAACAAATGTTTAAAACAACGGGATGTCCAAATCAAAATCATTAACAAAACAACGTTTAATTTTAAAGTTTAAAACAAAGACAATGCTTAGCATCAACAAATACAATGCTCCTAACATCAACAAAAGACAATGCTCCTAACATCAACAAAAGACAATGCTCCTAACATTCGTCCCCATCATCTTCGTCTTCAAATTCTTCTTCTGAATAATAAAACTCGTTTTCATCATCTCCGTCTTCAAAATTTTCCACTTCTTCGTCTTCCTCCCCAATTCTCTCATTCTCGTCATCAGATATTTGCTCATATGTATTTATAGTTGAGGATAGGCACAGTCGTTCCACACGAGTTACAGTAAGGGGTGACTCAAACTGTTCTTCAACCTGACACATTTCATCTGCTTCCATTTCAGCTTCGGTGACTTCAAATACCCCTCTTGGTTTTGTTTTGATAACCGCCCACTTATCTTTCGTCTCATTTGTCATTGAAGGGTATGGTGTATAAAACACTTGTTCAGCTTGTGATGCCAAACAAAAAGGATCGTCAGTTTGAAGTCGAGATTTGGGTTTGACATCAATCAACTTGTTTTTGTTGACTATTACACCGTCTTTGTTATCAAACCAAATACAATTAAACAGTACAACAGTCGACGGTCCGCTGCTATAATACTCAATCTCTAAGATCTCTTGCAATATGCCGTAGTAGTCTGACTCTTGTTCGGCATTATACGTCTCCCCTCTCACACATACTCCAAAGTTATTCGTCGCACGACCCTCGCCGTATTGTTGAGTGTGGAACTTATAACCATTTACAAAATACCCATTATGAAAATAAGCATGTCTCGATGGTTTCGTAGCTATAACTTCTAAGTGTCTAGCACTTCCATCGGGTGTCTTATACATTATCTACATTGAAAACATACACACATTGTGTTGGTTAATGATTCATTAATAATAATCAATACGATTGAACTGGTTCTACTTACTCTGTCCTCAAACCATTCAGCAAAATATTTATCTCTTAAATCAGAAACGGATTCCTTTGGATTCGTTCTCATGACCATTTCATCAAACTCGATGATGTAAGGGTTAACTTCTTTACAATTAAGTAATATGTAAGTATGCGCCTTGTGAAGGTCTTTATCACTCAAGGGTTCTCGTTTTCCACTTTTTTCATATAATCTTCTTGATGGGACGACAAAGATGCTAAGTGGAGCTTCTCCACTCGAAAACCTGTGACTTTGTGGGACGACAAAGATGCTAAGTGGAGCTTCTTATTTTCGATTTTTCGGGCACCAAACGTCGTTTTTTCCGCTTCGTTTTTTTCACACCTCTCTTATACATGATTATCTATATTTTCACCAACTTATTGCTATTAATATCATTCATAAAGTCGTGTGCACATACGGGATCCATTACTCGTTTAATGGTTTAAAACTATAATGCTTATGATCTACATTCACATCTAAATAATCACAAACACGTATACATACACATATACACATACATATATACCACAACTCATTTATGTATACACATATAAACCCATCACAAGTTGGTGAAAAATATAGTCATTACATTGTTAAACTGTGAAACGAGTACTTGATCCTGTATGTGCACACGACTTTATGAATGATATTAATAGCTATAAGTTGGTGAAAATATAGATAATCATGTATAATAGAGGTATGAAAAAAACGAAGCGGAAAAAACGACGTTTGATGCCCGAAAAATCGAAAATAAGAAACATCCGTAGCTAGTCCGTAGCTAAATCCGTAGCTAATTAGCTACGGACTAGCTACGGAATTCTAACGGAAAGAACATTCCGTTAGAATTCCGTAGCTAGTCCGTAGCTAATTAGCTACGGATTAGTTACGGAAATTTCTTATTTTCGATTTTTCGGGTACCAAACTACATTTTTTCCGCTTCGTTTTTTTCACACCTCTATTATACATGATTATCTATATTTTCACCAACTTATTGCTATTAATAGCATTCATAAAGTCGTGTGCACATACGGGATCCATTACTCGTTTAATGGTTTAAAACTATAATGCTTATGATCTGCATTCACATCTAAATAATCACAAACACGTATACATACACATATACACATACATATATACCACAACTCATTTATGTATACACATATAAACCCATCACAAGTTGGTGAAAAATATAGTCATTACATTGTTAAACTGTGAAACGAGTACTTGATCCCGTATGTGCACACGACTTTATGAATGATATTAATAGCTATAAGTTGGTGAAAATATAGATAATCATGTATAATAGAGTTGTGAAAAAAACGAAGCGGAAAAAACAACATTTGATGCCCGAAAAATTGAAAATAAGAAAAATCCGTAGCTAATCCGTAGCAAATTAGCTACGGACTAGCTAATTAGCTACAGATTTTTCTTATTTTCGATTTTTCGGGCATCATACGTCGTTTTTTTCGCTTCGTTTTTTTCACACCTCTATTATACATGATTATCTATATTTTCACCAACTTATAGCTATTAATATCATTCATAAAGTCGTATGTACATTCGGGATCCATTACTCGTTTAATGGTTTAAAATTGTAATACTTATTTATATTTGCGATTTTTGATATGCATACACTTAGACACATACACACATAGATAAACATAAACATACACATTCAAATACACACACATACACATGTACTTACATACACATTCAAATACACACACAAGCATACACATACATATACACATAAACATACACATACACATTCAAATACACACATACACATACACATTCAAATACACACATATACATACACACATACACATACACACATACATTTTGATACACACCTACATTCACGTACATACACATACATACATACATACATATATACATACATACATACATACGTACGTACATACATAAATTCATAAATACACATACACATACATATTTCCCTTTATTAAAATCATTTTTCATTATTTATAAATTAAACATAGATTATTTCACCTTATTGATGTGTTAAACATAGTTTTTTTTGTTTAATCGTTTGTTTGTGTGTTAAACACATTTGTTACAATTATTATATATTGTTATGATGTTTATAAATATTATTATTAATAGTATTATTAGTATGATTTTTAATTGTTCGTGTCTTAAAAATAATAATAATGGGAAATTATAAATCTGTCGTTATTTCGTAGCTATTCTGTAGCTATTTTCTTCCGTTGCTAGGTCGTAGCTATTCCGTAACTAATTAGCTACAGAATAGCTACGGATTTGTATCCGTAGATATTCCGTAGCCATTCTGTAGGTAATGAGCTACGAAATAGCTACGGATTACCATCCGTAGCTATTCTGTAGCTCATTAGCTACGGAATACCTACGGACTAACATCCGTAGCTATTCCGTTGCTAAATTAGGGCGTCTCATTCTGTAGTGGATCCGTAGCAATTTCGTAGCTAATTAGCTACGGAAATTTTCCGTAGGAAAACCCCATGTTTTCTAGTAGTGACATGTACCTTTCCCATTTTGGAACTGTATAGAAACTGATTTATATATTTTAGTTTCTCTTATTTCTCTTGTTGTATAGTTCTGTTAAATTACATAAATATATTTATTATTATTATTAGTTATTATTTTATAGTAGTTGATTAAAATATGTAAAAAAGGAAACATATAACATACAATGTACCAACATTAACTTATAGAAATCCACAATACGTGTGCATAAAGGATTTGATCTATTTAGGATTTGATCTAATTAAAAAATGAAAATTGATTTAAAATGTTCAAATTGCGTCCACGTCGGAAGTTTTTTTGGTTTGTTTACCAACATTACTTTGTGTTTTAAAGAGTGTCATGTTTTTTATTTTTTTGGTAAATAATGGAAAAGGATTATAGTTTTTGAGTTTTATCAAAATGACCTCTTAGTTCTAAATGTGTCCATTTTAGAGTAATCATGTATATAAAATATATTTTATTTCATTTGCAACAAAATATTTTGAAAAAAAATATTCTCTTCCCTCTCACCTATAGTATTTTGGTTGTATTAAATGGTACAATTTTCTTATGTTGTATCAAAATCTATTTTGATTTTTGTGAGTTTATTTACCTCCTTGTTAAATTTATGACAAATTGTATTGGTTTCGGACTTCAATATGCATCATTTTGTACTCTAAAATGTTGTTTATTTTACATTTGCATACAATAAAACGCTATGTAGGCTTGTATGTTTGTTATGTTACATGAGGTTAACCCCATTACATGATTTGATATGTATTTATGGTGTCCACAGTTTGTATTTTAAACCCCATTATAGGTATTGTTTATAATCTGAAAGCTATAGCTCTAGATAGGTTGGTTTCTGATAGAGACCGATTCGAGATGGTCAATCTCCAAGATAAGGCCAATTTGAGATGGCTAATCTCCCAAAGAAATAAGAAACACAAACATAGATACTTTACTGATAATTCTTTTTTATATAAAATGAAAATACATGACTTCTTAAATAGTAAATAGAAAACACCACTACTA